TGCAATCCCCTCACCGGTCACGAAAAAGACAAAAAAAAAAAAAAAAACTAACATCGGGCAGGAAAATTCCAGGTGGTTTTGTCTTTATTTTTAAGAGTAATTGGTTGTATGGAGAGAGTCCAGTGGCCTGGATTCTAGGCTTAGTTCTCTTAGCAGTTCTGTATGAATGCTGTCAACCATCTAACTTCACTGGGTTGATCTGTAAAATAAAGTGGTCAAATGGTTTCCTTCGTGTCTTCTAGCCCTGAAATGCTCCTCAAATGTTGTTCAATTGAAATATCACAGGACTGAGGCAAGAGGACCTGGGTTTTATCTGTCTCTTTCTAGTTAAGTGACCCTAAGTCAAGTCACCTAACTTCTTTGAACCTTAGATCCTTCATCTCTTAAATGGCAATAATATCAGATCTTTCTACCTTGCCAGGTTGCTGTGAAAATCACATGAAATAATAGTAAATGATGCAAACTTGGCTATAAAAGAAAAAAAGTAAATGAGAAGCATGCTGAAAATTTGTAAAGCAAAATATAAACGTGAAGTTTGTAACTGTTCTAAGTTCTTACATAATGAAATCATTTCCATATTTAAATTATTTGATGGGAATATAGTTTATTCAATGAGAAACTTCTGGAATACATATATATTTCACTATCATTAGTATTAAATGTAATGTATTGGGACAGTAATTATTTATAAATACTTCTACTGTGCTAAATGTTAATAAAACCCAGTATGTTTTCCAAAATAATGTATTAGTTAATTTTTTTTTAATGTTAGGGATTGATTTTGTTCTTGGCTTTGATAGGGAATGCTTTTTGATTATTCTCTGAGCTGATGGAGAAATCAAAGATGATAAAGTGATTTAGTTCATAATGGAGGTGCACTGCAGTTTTGTGAATAATACAAATTTCTAAACTAAGGTTAAGATCTAGTAAAATTTTCATAAGGTAATCAGTTTTCAGATGGTCTACTGTCCTGAAAAGTTGAAGATTTCCGCTCTTAGCTAAACAATTTTCCATGATTATCCAGCCTTATCAATACTCATAACTTTAAGGGGATCTTCTAGAGTAAATATACTACCAACAATTCATTAATCCCAAAATAGAGTCAACCCAGTATTTTGAAAAAGTATCAAATGGTTCGTTTGTATTCAGGTAGTGTTATAAAAGAAAGCCCCGTAGGATGATCTGCATGTTCCTTTTCATCATTACCAACTATAGTCTAAAGACAGATGAAAGGAACTAGGTAATCCTGGAAGGTCTGGAGCTAAAACCCACAGGGTCCTCTTCAGGCATGAAATTTCATTGAAGTTTTGTGTTTTAATCTTTATTTACTTTTTTTTAATTTAATATTTTTTATTTCCATATTCTTTCTTTTTTTTCTCTTTTTTTGGCTGCCGACTGGTACAGGGGTCTGAACCCTTGACCTCGGTGTTACAAGGTGGTGTTCTGATGTGTCTTATCTTAAAAGTTCGTGGACACTAGTGGTACATTCATGGAACTTTTGCATTCTATTCTGTAATATACTATGTTTTAATACGAAATCAGTATTTTAAATTATTTAGTAATAAAATTGATATTCCAGGAAGGTGTCACCTACTGTGTACTCCTGGGGCACAGATAACTACCCGCACCATTTGAAAAGCTACAAATATATTCCATATTCACTTTATACAAATCAAACAAAATAGACCATAATTTTTTAAAGATGTGTATTCAAATAATATTATTAACATCCCTTTTACTCTTGGATATGAGATTCTGCCTTTATCTTGTGGAATTATATCCACAATTCTTTCATACTCTGAATTTTCAGCTTTCAGAGAAGGGGAAACCTTATGTTGATATCCAAGGTTTAACTGCTTCTACCATGGAAATCCTTTTGGACTTTGTGTACACAGAAACAGTACATGTGACAGTGGAAAATGTACAAGAACTGCTCCCTGCAGCCTGTCTACTTCAGCTGAAAGGTATAGACGTTAAAAGTTGCTATTGTTCATGTCAAAGAAACCCAGGAAATGTTTAATATTAATGACGTAAACTTAATCATGAAATTATGCCACTCATGTTTACTGCCCGTGGCTTTTGTCTCTTTGAGCAATACAAGATCAGATGTCAATAGCAATGTAAAGGAACCTCTCCAAATGCGAGTATTTGGCATTTTAAAAGAAAACATTTACGCCTTTTCTGTTTTAAAAAAATGGAGAAGATAATATATGTATTTTCTTGCATATATGCTTATAATACCCTCTAAGGATATACTTTTTTTTTTTTTTTTTTTAAAAAATGACCGGA